TCCCCATGTCCCGATCACTCTCCCATCCGTCCACCTTTCCCATGTCCGTCCTGTCCCCAAATCCGTCACCTTTCCCCATGTCCGTCCTCTCCCCATCCGTCCGCTTTCCCATGTTTCCCCATGTCCCGTCCTCTCCCCATCCACGTCACCTTTCCCCATGTCCCGTCCTCTCCCCATCCACGTCACCTTTCCCCATGTCCCGTCCTCTCCCCATCCCCGTCACCTTTCCCCATGTCCCGTCCTCTCCCTATCCATGTCACCTCTCTCCAAGTCCCCTGTCCTCTCCTCATTCATGTCACCTTTCCTCATATCCACTGTCCTCTCCCGTCCATTTTACCTTTCCTCATGTCCCCGTCCTCTCCTGATCCATGTCACCTTTCCCAATGTCCCCTGTCCTCTCGCCATCCATGTCACCTTTCCCAATGTCCCTTCCTCTTCCCATCCGTGTCCCCTTCTCCATTTCCGTTTCCATCCATGTCACCTTTCCCCATATCCCCTGTCCTCTCCCAATCCATGTCACCTTTTCCCATTTCCCTTCCCATCCATGTCACCTTTCCCCATGTCACTTCCTCTCCCCATCAGTGTCACCTTTCCCCATGTCGCCTGTCCTCTCCCCATTCACGTCACCTTTCCCCATGTCCCTTCCTCTCCCCATCCACGTCACCTTTCCCCATGTCCCTTCTGTGACAAATGCACCTTCCCACGTACGTTTGTCAGGGACTCCTGGAGGAGTCTAGAAGCCGGCCTCCTGTCTACAGACTATGGTCCAGGTCTGAAACACCATAAGGGAGTTACCCCGCCCAGCTGCCATTAACAGCTTTGCCCCTGGTTCGGCACTTTCCCTTCATGCGAATGGAACCGAACGCTGGCACTCTGGTGTCCGTTCGCATGAACCAAACCCACAATAGTCCCAGCGGTACTTAGCCGCGACCACTATGGAACTAGATTTGACATGAGGACTTTGTGGGTTCCCAGTCACCTTAGCGGGACTTAGCTGCGAATGTTATGGAACGGTTTTCGGCATTAGGTGACAATGCGGTTCCCGGGCAACTTGGTTCACAGTTTTGAACCACTTCGAAACCAGCCAGTAGATCGCTTTTTGGAGAGAAGGTGCCTGAGACTAAGGGGAACAAACGCTATCTAAAAACAAGGCAGAGCACTCCATATTGCGGCGGCAGGAGCTGCCGAAAGTTAACCGGCAAAAGCACCAAGTGCGCGGCCGGTCCGAACTTTAACACAGTGACGTTTTCCCTACACTGCATGGATCTTAGCGCTATTTGGATAACTTGGGCACTCAGATCAGGGCTACTTAACAATGTATTGTTTGTGTGGTTATTTTAAGTACTTATGTTTTTATATTTTTGTGTTTGCCCTTTAACGCATGTGGCGGACTGCCTGGCACCCCGACTGGGTGCTTTCGTCGATCGGTGCTTCCTAGTGTTCACAAGTACTCCAAGCACGCCACAAGACACCATAACCAGCATTAACCCCGCAGCCAGCGTTACAGCTTGGTTGAGGTCTCGCTGTCCTCCACCCACCCTGAACCCAAGACCAGGATCCAGCTTCCAATGGGTAGATCTTTCCCAAATAAAAAGAGATAGCTCTTACAAGAGCTAGTGATTATAATCCAAGGGAGTATAATGAGTATAGCAATCCCTAGAGTGAATATAGCTGTTCCCTCCATACACGAGTCGATGCTCTATGTTGAGGGTGAAGAGGAACTGAGTTCTTGGCAGCTACAACTGGCCTTATACTCATATCACCATGCAAGGGGTTTACTATAAGATATTCCAGGGGCAATTGCCCACTGGACCTGAGAGGGGACTATGACAAAGCACACCACTTAATGACATTAACTATCAGGTCCAGGACATCCACATCAATAACACCCCATAATATACATTTAGCAACAATGTTCCCTCTCAAGTCCAATATTCCCGGATAGCGTGGATCGGAGTGCCCAACATATCCCGAAAGTACTCAGATCCCACTAACATAGCCGCAACACCACCGGGGTATAATTTAGACCAACTGCACACAAGGCACCTGCCCAGAATCGTTCCATAGAATTAGGCTGTGCGGCCGGTCTCCTTCAGGGGTATAAAACACACAAAAGATACAAATGAAACTGTTCGTGCATGTTCTCAATCTGTGTCCCTCTTTCGGGAGCTTGTTCCTACCAAACGTCGCTCTTCTCATACGAATCCAGCCGAACGGACGTAGAGATGGAAGTCCCAGCAGTGTTCGCGCCATTCACACTCTACGACCAAACACTGCTGTACGTGTTCGCGGATAAAGATGGCCGCCGCCATGTGTTCGTCCATAAGAACGACGGCCACCCAGCTGACCGTTTAGAACGTTGGGTTAATTGCGGTTACTGAGGTGAGAACAAGGGTCAACGAGCAGCACACGACTCCCGTGGGTGTATACGAACAGTATAAGTCTAATCCTTTCAGTGGGTCCCATACACTGAACCAGCCAAGGGAAAAGGCATAAACAGAGCCTTTTTAAAGTACATTGGCCAAGGTCCAGCACAAGGGCCATAGTCCTAAGGCAAGAGACTGGCCAATAGGCCCCTCCAAGAGCCTTTGGCGAGGTTATGTTCACCACATCGCAATTATGTCCCAGGCCCAAAGATTCCTGGGTGAGGCTTGTGGTGAAGACAATTCAGACCCCCTGCTGGGGTCTGTGTATAAAAAGGCTGTGTTTGGATGCATTAAACCAGTTGTACATTCCAGAGCTATGTGTTGTCTAGTTACTGGGAGGGGAAGGGCTATAATCACTGCTTAGCACCTTGTTCCAGCTCGTGTAGGATTCGGCAGGGCAAGTCCTTATAAGGACTAGAGCTCCCACAACTGTGTGTCCCCTATCCTATAGAGCTAGTCCCCTATCCTGTTCAAAGACGGAGAGGCTCCAGGAGAACCCCAGACAAGCCACAGCGATTAGGGCAGAAACGTTGAGGTTTTCCCCTGTTCCAGCTAGGAAGCGGTCCTTGACGGAGATACCCAGCCAGGGTACAGGGAGCTCCGCTACACCTTCCTCTCCCCATCCACGTCATCTTTCCCCATGTCCCTTCCTTTCTCCATCTGTGTCACCTTTCCCACATCCCTAGCTTTCCCCATCCGTGTTACCTTTCCCATGTCCCTTCCCCCATCCGTGTCACCTTCCCTTATGTCACTTGTCCTCTCCATATCAATGTAATTGCCTTTTTTTTCTATTAACAAAAAAAAAAAAAAAAAAAAGATTTTGCCAACAGTTACTTTTGAAAACACTTACATATCCTCCATTGAGTCATACAGACACACACAGTGTTTTATAACTACAGCTTGACGGTGATGGTGTAAGGAGGCCCCCTTTCTCCCCGCACGCAGTGTATTATAACTACAGCTATAAGGTTATGGTGTAAGGAGGTCCCCTGTCTCCCCGCACAGTGTATTATACCGGCAGCTATAAGGTTATGGTGTAAGGAGGTCCCCTGTCTCCCCGCACACAGTGTACTATAAATGCAGCTATAAGGTTATGGCGTAAGGAGGTCCACTGAGTAGATTATATATTATAACTGTAACCATAAGGCTATGGTGTGAATGGAACTTTGAGAATGGAATTGTGAATCTATTGAGCCAGGGGTCAAGAAAATTATTTAGCTCTCTCCTCCCTGTACTACTCAAGGATCAGTGAAACGATTGTATGGTGGTGACAGTGGCATGTAGGTGGGCAGTACGGAATGAAGGACAGTGGCATGAAGGTTGGCGGTACGGAATGGAGGACAGTGGCACAAAGGTGGGCGGTACGGAATGGAGGACAGTGGCACAAAGGTGGGTGGTACGGAATGGAGGACAGTGGCACGAAGGTGGGCGGTACGGAATGGAGGACAGTGGCATGAAGGTGGGTGGTACGGAATGGAGGACAGTGGCATGAAGGTGGGCGGTACGGAATGGAGGACAGTGGCATGAAGGTGGGCGGTACGGAATGGAGGACAGTGGTATGAAGGTGGGCGGTACGGAATGGAGGACAGTGGCATGAAGGACAGTGGCATGTAGGTGGGCAGTACGAAATGAACAATGGATGGGAATGAAATCCTGACTGCTCTTTCCTGTGGACCAATTTACAAAGTGGTCGGACATCTGATGGTTTATTCTTAGTTAGAACTGGATAAGCCAGTGAAGATATCGGCCATATATTGAGCAGTGCGTGCACAGAACACTCTTGCAATCGCATGGGACCTCAGAGCCATTAATATCTCCAGTTCCCAACACAGGGTCTGTAACAAACTACAATCATACAAGGGAATTGAATTAGCTGCTACGCATCTCACAGAGCAAGGCTCACTCTGGATGAAGGAAAAAATAAATTTTTAATAATGTTGAACATTAAGCATGTGCCAGTGACTCGTAAAGGCGGCCATTTTTGTAAGTTGGGCATTCAGCCAAAATAACCCATTCAGTCAATTGGGTTGAATGTAATGATCCTATTGGATACCATGTGCTCTCTTAAAGGACCACTCTAGGCACCCAGACCACTTCAGCTTAATGAAGTGGTCTGGGTGCCTGGTCCAGCTAGGGTTAACCCATTTTTTCATAAACATAGCAGTTTCAGAGAAACTGCTATGTTTATGAATGGGTTAAGCCTTCCCCTATTTCCTCTAGTGGCTGTCTCATTGACAGCCACTAGAGGCGCTTGCGTGCTTCTCACTGTGATTTTCACAGTGAGAGACCAAGCGTCCATAGAAAGCATTATGAATGCTTTCCTATGTGACGGCTGCGCGCAGCTTTTGCCGCGCATGCGCATTCAGCCCAGGAGGAGGAACGGAGGAGGAGAGCTCCCCGCCCAGCGCTGGAAAAAGGTAAGTTTAACCCCTTTTCCCCTTTCCAGAGCCGGGCGGGAGTGGGACCCTGAGGGTGGGGGCACCCTCAGGGCACTATAGTGCCAGGAAAACGAGTATGTTTTCCTGGCACTATAGTGGTCCTTTAAGCAAATACAAGCCCAAAGCCCTTTCTTACCGTATTGATACAGTGAAGCTCTTTGTTTAGTAGCCAAGGCAGGGACAGACGCCCCTCTCCACGGTAGCAGGATTGGATACGCTCCTTGATGCGTTTGTTAATCTGACTGAGGGTGAAAAGGCAAAGCACAGACTCCCGGGGAGGATTTGACCGGTTTTTCTGCCCCTGTGAGAACACTGTGTACAGCACTTCTTCATCCTCCGCTATCTCCAGTTCCAGGGCCAGCTTTCGCCCCGGTCGGCTGAGGTACGCACTCTGGATGAGTCTATATTCCACTCCATCCTTCATGCAGCCAATAGGGAACTCTACATACGAGTAAAACTCTGGGTCTCCCGAACACATGCGCACAATCTTTGACGTGAAGAACTTCTCACCAGTTGCATCCAGTAATGTCTGCTGAGTGTCCAGCTGAAGCGTCAGGAAGTAGACAAATCCACCACTAACAAAGCCATACACATAATAAATATCAAAAGAGGGGTGAAGGGAAAGTGTGTCAGAGGGGACTTTGATCTGGGAGGAAACAAATTCATCCTGGTACACTAAACGAAACATCTCTGAGTTCTCCACATCTCTTACAAGCTTGCGACTAGATAAAGTGGGGAAATACTCAGACTTGCCATCAATGGATGTGCCAATGAAAAGTTTACTCTGCTCGTGATCTTGCTCGACAATAACGCCAGCCATGGAGTCAGGCTCACGAGCTCCTGACAGGTAGTGCTCCTTGCGATGATGAGGCTCACCCAATTTGAAGAGATCATCGAGTCGAAGGAATTGGCAAATTCCTTGCCATACACTGCCACAGGCAACCACACGTTGCCCTGTGTAGTCTATAAGAAGAAGTCTGTTTACATTGTCAGACAAAGAAAGCTTGTGGGCACAGGCACGAACACTTGGTGGGGGGTAGCAGCGGGTGTTATCTTCAATAGGGCCAGTCAAATGTGAACGGAGTTCTGTCAAATTGTCTGAAAGCCGGTATACTCTATTTACTGCCCCAACGTAGACATCTCCAGTGTCCCTGTGCACGGCTAGGTGAGTAAGAGATGTATCTGACACAATGAAACTGGGAAAGGAGGAGCTTGACCCCTCTCTGAATGAGCAGCACAAGAGGAAAATGAATGACGGGAACAAACTCCGAACAGGTCCCATTGCTTGTCCAATGACAACAGTCAACTTGTGGCTCCAAGAGGTGAAAAATATAAAGAGATCCAAAGCCGATTCTCGTCTCCCCACATCTAGCAGTATGTTCAATGGACCTGGAAAAAAGAGAGAATTTTGTTACATACAAATAGAATATTGAGTAGTTTGTCTCAGGGAGAGGCAGATGATATTCTGTGGGCTTAAGTAACAATTCCTCGTAATTCAAACATTCAGGGTCATTTACCAAAGAAACAAAAGGCAAAGCTCTAAAATGGGAAAAGCCCAGAGTCGGAGTAAATTTACAGCGTTATAAATTTCTCCATGGTGTAGTAAAGATTCCTTAATCCAGCTTACAGAGAATTTCTTAACAAACACTACAAACCGTGCACTTAGCCAACCAGTCACATAGTACCAACCTATATTGAATAAAATTTGGTATTTAAATGTTTCTATCATATCCCCCCTGTCTCGTCTTTCCTCCAAGCTATACATGTTAAGATCCTTTAACCTTTCCTGGTACGTTTTATCCTGCAATCCATGAACCAGTTTAGTAGCCCTTCTCTGAACCCTCTCTAAGGTATCAATATCCTTCTGAAGATACGGTCTCCAGTACTGTGTACAATACTCCAAGTGAGGACTCACCAGTGTTCTGTACAATGGCATGAGCACTTCCCTCTTTCTACTGCTAATACCTCTCCCTATACAACCAAGCATTCTGCTAGCATTTCCTGCTGCTCTATTACATTGTCTGCCTACCTTTAAGTCATCAGAAATAATCACCCCTAAATCCCTTTCCTCATATGTTGAGGTTAGGACTTTATCAAATATTCTGTACTCTGCCCTTGGGTTTTTACATCCAAGATGCATTATCTTGCTCTTATCCACATTAAATGTCAGTTGCCACAATTCTGACCATTTTTCTAGTTTACCTAAATCATTTGCATTTGGCTTATCCCTCCTGGAACATCAACCCTGTTACATATCTTAGTATCATCAGCAAAAAGACATACCTTACCATCAAGACCTTCTGCAATATCACTAATAAAAATATTAAAGAGAATGGGTCCAAGTACAGATCCCTGAGGTACCCCACTGGTGACAAGTCCAAGCTTCGAATATATTCCATTGACTACAACCCTCTGTTGCCTGTCACTCAGCCACTGCCTTACCCATTCAACAATATTGGAATCCAAACTTAAAGATTGCAGTTTATTGATAAGCCTTCTATGTGCAACAGTGTCAAAAGCCTTACTGAAATCTAGGTAAGCAATGTCTACTGCACCACCCTGATCTATAATTTTAGTTACCCAATCAAAAAAATCAATAAGATTAGTTTGGCATGATCTCCCTGAAGTAAACCCATGTTGTCTCTGATCTTGAAATCCATGTGTTTTTAGATGTTCAACAAACCTATGCTTTAACATGGTTTCCATTACTTTCCCCACTACTGAAGTAAGGCTTACTGGCCTTTAGTTGCCCGACTCCTCCCTACTACCTTTCTTGTAAATGGGCACAACATTCGCTAACTTCCAATCTTCTGGGACTACTCCTGTTAACAATGATTGGTTAAATAAATCTGTTAATGGTTTTGCTAGTACACCACTAAGCTCTTTTAATAACTTTGGGTGTATTCCATCAGGCCCCATTGACTTATTTGTCTTTACTTTTGACAGTTGAAATAGAACCTCTTCCTCTGTAAACTCACATGTAACAAATGACCCATTTGCCCTTTTTCCAAACTGAGGCCCTTTTCCTTCATTTTCATCTGTAAATACTGAACAAAAATATTAATTGAGGCAGTCAGCTAGACCTTTATCCTCTTCTACATACCTTCCTTCTTTTGTTTTAATCTAATACTTGTTTTACTTTCCTTTTCTCATTTATGTATCTAAAAAAATGTTTTGTCACTTTTTTTACTGACTCTGCTATTTTCTCTTTTGTGTGAGATTTGGAGGTTCTTATAACTTGCTTAGCCTCTGTCAAATATTATAGATCATTTTGTCTTCCTCACTGAGTTTTTTTTTTTTTTATAATCACTAAATGCTAACTTTTTGTTTTTTACTATTTTGGCCACATCTGTGGAATACCACAGTTGTTTCATGAATTTTTTGCTTTTACTGACAAGCCTAATGCAATTTTCTGTTGCCTTCAGCAATGCATCTTTTAAAAGGACCACTATAGACACCAACACCACTTCAGCTCAATGAAGAAGTCTGGGTGCCAGGTCCATCTAGGGTTAACCCTGCAGCTGTAAACATAGCAGTTTCAGAGAAACTGCTATGTTTACAGTAAGGTTAATCCAGCCTCTAGTGGCTGTCTCACTGACAGTCGCTAGAGGCGCTTCCGTGCTTCTCACTGTGAAAATCACAGCGAGAAGACGCTGACGTCCATAGGAAAGCATTGAGAAATGCTATCCTATGGACTGATTGAATGCGCGCGCGGCTCTTGCCGTGCATGCGCATTCAGCGCTGATGTCGGAAGAGGGAGGAGAATTCCCCAGCGCCGAGGGAGCCCGGCGCTGGAGAAAGGTAAGAGTTTAACCCCTTCCACCCCCTTCAGCACGGTGAGAGTGGAACCCAGAGTTTGTTCTCCTGGCACTACAGTGGTCCTTTAAATAATCCCATTTCTCTTGGACTCCATTTAAATTGCTCCAGTTTGCTAATGACTCCTTTACACATATTCTAAATTTTAGAAAAAAGTCTTTTTTTAAAGTCTAAAACTTGTTTTTGTGTGGTGTGACTCAGTCACTGTTCTTATATTAAAGCACACCGACTGAGGATCACTGGAACCTAAACTTTCACCTACAGTAATATCTGATACCAAACCTCCATTTGTTAAAGGACCACTCTAGGCACCCAGACCACTTCAGCTTAATGAAGTGGTCTGGGTGCCAGGTCCAGCTAGGGTTAACCCATTTTTTAATAAACATGGCAGTTTCAGAGAAACTGCTATGTTTATTAATGGGTTAAGCCTTCCCCCTAATCCTCTAGTGGCTGTCTCATTGACAGCCACTAGAGGCGCTTGCGTGCCTCTCACTGTGATTTTCACAGTGAGAGCACGCCAGCGTCCATAGGAAAGCATTATGAATGCTTTCCTATGTGACCGGCTGAATGCGCGCGCAGCTCTTGCCGCGCGTGCGCATTCAGCCGACGGGGTGGAACGGAGGAGAGATCTCCGCCCAGCGCTGGAAAAAGGTAAGTTTAAACCCCTTTCCCCTTTCCAGAGCCGGGTGGGAGGGGGACCCTGAGGGTGGGGGCACCCTCAGGGCACTATAGTGCCAGGAAAACGAGAATGTTTTCCTGGCACTATAGTGGTCCTTTAACACTAAATCTAGTATGGCCTCTTTACGAGTTGGCTCCTCAACAACTTGTTTTAGAGACAATCCCAGTAGGGCGTTTAGAATATGTGTGCTCCTGGCACAAGCAGCTATTTTGGTTTTCCAATTCACATCAGGAAGATTAAAAAGTCACCCATGATGATAACTTCCCCCTTCATTGTCATTTTAGCTATTTCTACACCTACACGAGTTACTGTGTGATTACCAAATCCAAATGGACTATGTTCACCTCACTAACTTTTATTAGGCTAGATTTTATGCTATCCTTCCCATACAGGGCCACCCCTGCCCCTTTCTTGCCTTCCCTGTCTTTTCTATATAAAAAGAGTACCCTGGTATTGCTATGTCCCAGTCATTTTTCTCATTATACCATGTCTCAGTAACAGCGACTAAATCTACATTATCAGTTGCCATTATTGCCACAAGTTCATGGATCTTATTCCCTAAACTGTGAGCATTTGTAGACATGACTCTAAGCTTATCATTTTTTAACACACTTGCTACAGGCACCTTCTGTCCTTGTTTTGGGGGACAATTGGATTGATGTTTTATTACCCTTTTGCCCCCCCCTCCTAGTTTAAATACATCCTAGCAAAACCTCTGAACTGCTCACTGGGAACATTTGTTCCCTTTTGAGAAAGATGCAAACCATCTTTTTTGTACAGCTTATCTCCATTCCAAACAGAGCTACCATGAGAAATAAAGCCAAATCCTTGCTCCTGACACCATTCACCAAGCCACAAATTAAAGTCCCTAATACGCATCCGCCTGTCGTTCTGAGTGTTATGCACAGGCAGAACTTCAGAGAATGACAGTGTGGAAGCAACCTGCTGTATATCATTGGCAAAAACACTAAAAACTTCCTTAACCTCTGAAACCTCATTGCAAGCCAAGTCATTTGTCCCTAGATGGACAAGTACATCCAATTCCCCTTCCTGCTTTGCTCGCTTAACAATATTACAAATACGTCTCCTGTCTCTGTGAGCAGTAGCTCCGGGAAGACAACTCACAAGACCACCATTGTCCATCTCCACACCTCTTATGATGGAATCCCCAACAACAACTGCTTTCTATTAGGCCTCACCATAGTCTCCAAGCCTGTCTCCACAACACCACTACCCTCAGTGCCTGAGCCTGTCTCCACAACACCACTACCCTCAGTGCCTGTCTCCATAACACCACTACCCTCAGTACCTGAGCCTGTCTCCATAACACCATTACACTCTGAAAGTGCAGAAAATGAATTATGTAGAGCAACAGACTGTGCAATATGCCTTTTATCCACAACTCTAAGTCTACCAGATCCTACAGTAATCCATCTGCCATTCCTAGTATGTCTCTGCGGCAGTGGCTTTGCAGCAGTTCCAGCCTGAGTTTGTTTACCAGATAATTTACAAATCTCAGACTTAAAAAATACAATCTCCTGTCGCAATATAGAGAACTGTCTACAGATTAGACAGCATCCAAATCTCCAAAAAGTGGAACGTGAAACAAATGCATAACAACTATTACACTGAACTA